TGTTTTCCTAAACTATTTGTTATTTACTTTTACTTATAGTTTTAAGTAAAATAAACAAATAATAAATAATTATTTAATTAAGTAAAATAAATAATAATAATAATAATAATAATAATATATATATATATATATATACTACACACACACACACACACACACACACATTATGTAACATATGGTAGCCAAAACCTTATTGTACCTGAAAACTATCCATTTATTGGTTACTGTGTAAACATGTTAAAATGGAAAACACGATGTACATAAGCACTTTCACACCTATATTACCACTAAATCCCAACCACCCAAGTTTATTGGATCAGCCCAGACTTTCTACAAAGCAAAGCATATGAATTTTATACTTTACACAATTCTCATTGTAACCATTATACTGTCAATAAGTTGATAAATCCTACCCCACTGTGTTTTCAAAGCAGAGAAGTTCTGGGAACTGTGCTGTAAAAGTTTATTTGATATTGATGGTGTCAAAGTATTCAAAGTACAGTAACACCTGAACAGGAACAGTGATTCATTGCTTTATATTTGACAGGTTTTTACTTCAGCTGCTAACAGTAAAATTAACATAGGAAATAGGTGGAAAAAGATTAAAAGAAAATCTCACGAGATTTACTTTGTAGCTTCATTGTCCATACTAAAAAGGACAGACAGTACTATTAATTTCTTTCTTCAGTTTCTAAGCCATCTGCTTGCAAAAAAATAACTACAGAAAATAAGTGTAAAAAGGTGAGAAGTTTAAACTCTGACCATAAGTACTTTGTAATTTTGTAATAAATGCTAACAATATCATACATTTTGTTTTGCATTTGCAACCTTTATTTTCGTTATAATTTGATTACTTACCTATAACCTGGAGAATCAAGTATAATGTTACAATAAAGAAAATAACAGATAAAATATAAAGCTTTACTGAAAATAAAAATGTTTGATATTTAATTATGAGGTTTCTATTTCTCATTTGTTTTCACCATTTATTATTATAAAAGTAGCTAAAATGTAAAAAATATAAACTTATTAGGTAAGATAATGACAGAAGAAGAATAAAAATCTTCATGGGGTATACGCACCAACAGCTTGTGTGTTACGCTATTTGATATGGTAACGTGAGCTGCACGTGCATCATGTAATTTTCAACTTGTGTCGGGGTATTTTTAGTCAAACACAATTTAAAGGTCAATAAAACAAAAATTACTTAATATAATTAGATGTATAATTTTGTGAGATTTAAACTATTTAGAATAAACATTTGTGGTTTCTTGTTACAATTTGCAGTTATTCTAAAAAAAAAAAAAGAAAAGATAGTTTAGATTGATTTTCCAATTCTTTTAATGATGGTTATGATGGTCATTCAAATCGACCAATACCATATAGAGTTAGCATTGATTAAATAACAGATTAAATATAAAGTTTTACTCAAAAAAACGTTTGATGATTACCTAGATGAATATAGAGATTAAGCAAATGAAACTTGACAATTTTCAGTTAAAGAAAAGTATTTGTAATCTTAAAATCAAAATTACTTTGCACATTGGATAGTCAACATTCCGGATGAAAAACTTCACGAGTAAATATTTAATAAAAATATCTTAATACTGAATTTAAAAATCTGATTTTTTGTGTATGAAAGGCTTGTAATGTTTACTTAGAATGAGCAAAATTTTGTAAAGGTACATATACATTGTCAAAAACTACAGTGCAATTACACTCATGGATACTTTTGTGGTTATGAGCTGGGTGGATCCCACCGAGCCCGTATTTGTAGAGTTAATAAGGACACCACTCAAGATGTCAATCACTGATGTTGTGCAATAGACCACATAAAAGCCAGGCATGAAGTTGAATAGCACCAACCACTGGATAAAAAATGTCTGACCGAGGCTGACATAAGAGAGATGGTCAGGGAGGATGGGGAATAGGTTGACACTCCTGAAGATACTGGAGGAGTGGAAACCAGGGCTAATCTGGTCAATATGGTGCCACCAGAAGAAACTGACAGGACATGGATAAAATAAGTGACAGAACCTTGGAGAGAAGATGAATCTGAAGAAAAGCATAAGGACGAAGACCCTGCCCAATCCTGGCTGAGAGCATCTACTCCCAAACCAGAGGGTGAGGTAGTGGAGACCAGAAGGACAGGAGCTGAGTATTTCAATGTGTGGCAAAAGCCTTGGTCTGTGGTGTCCAAAGACAAGAGCAGATCCAAGGAAAAACTTGAAGAAGCATCCATTCTGTAAGAAGATCTCTGTTGGGACGAGCTAACTGGTTTACCACTAGATTCATTACCCCTTAAACATAACAACCAAGGAGAATGATCTGGTGTTTGTGTGCCCAAAGGAGAAGATCCACTGTTCAAAAACAAAAAGATCTGGAGTGAGTGCTCCCTTGCTATGAAAAGGACAAGATGACTATAGAATTGTCCGAATGAAGCATTACAACCTTCCCTCACAACAATTTGAGACCCTGAGTCATATCTCGTTGAGCTGCTAAAAGTTAAGAGAATGATGTGGAGAGAAGTTTCCTCTATAGTCCAAAGTTCTTTGAATTCCACATTGTCTATACAAGCACCCCAGCCCTGAAAAGAAGCATCTGTGAACAGATATATCTCCTACTGTGATGGTGGTAGACAGACACCTACAGTTAGGTTCTCCCTGTTCAACAACCAGCTGAGATCCAGCAGACTGGAATCTGACAGTCTCACTGGACAATCCAGCACATCCATGCAAATGTTTCACTGGTTCCATAATGACCAATGAAGAGCCCTCATGTGGGCCCAACCTAAAGGAAGGAGCGATTCCAATGATGCCCACATCCCCAAAAGAGATAGAACTGTGCATGCTGGAGGAGAAGGAAACAAATGTATTTGAAAAACTTTGTGTTCCATGGCCTGAAGGAGCAGAGGAGAAGACTGACACCAGCAGAGTCTGGAATTGAAAAACACTCCTAAATGTATGAGGTACTGTGTGGGAGAAAGAATAGTCTTCTCTTTTTTGATAACACACTCAGCTCTTGCAGCTTCTGATGCCAGAGTTTGAATGCATAGTTCTGCCAAATGGCAGGAAGGGGCAAGAAGAAGCCAGTGTAGAAAATGAAGAAAGGAGACAGGCCACATCTACTCAAGATTCCCTAGATTCTGGAATTCCTGAAAAAATAGATTGAGAAAATGACCTTCTTTTAAATCCCTAAGGGCCAATGCAGGAAGGTGAACTCTCTCCAATAAGGAATCTCTCTTTCAAAGATTCCAGCAAAAAACCAATCAAGATACCAAGAAAAGAGCAGAAGCCTATAATCTGACCAAAGTGGAAGTCAATGAATTATTAAGATCCTCCTTAATTTGAGCAGAGGACCTATGATAGGCCTCAGAAAACGATTGCAAAAATGATGAAAAAGGGAAAACTGTTGTAACTGTCAGACAAATTCTGGAAAACTGACATTGTTTAAGATGAACAAAAGCAACTTGTCTAGAGCCTCAAATAGGAAGTAGAGGGTCTAACCTCTGAGAGTCCAAATAAGAGTTTACCAGGTGATGGAAAACCAAGGCATGATGATCCAATAAATGAGGAGGACAAGGCATGGCAGCCCCCTGCAACAAATGATCTGCAAATCTCCTTGTATGCACTGCAATGTCTGGCAAAGGTGGAAGGACCAGGTAATGAGACAAACTAGTTTCTCTCAATAAAGAAGGTGAAGATTCATAAGCCATAAAAGAAATATTCAAAACATTAAAATCAAGGCATACTAGTTGTAACAAATGGTGCAAGATGCAGGATGTTCATCCAAGGTTCACGAGTAGCTGTCTGAGCAAAGGAAGGTGATGGAAAAATAGTCTAACTTCTCACTAGTCCACCCTTGATCTCCCACAAACTCAGTCTCAGATCCAACAAGAGGAATAAAAATCAGACTGCATACAAGACTCTACCGATCTGTGTATAAGGAATTGTATGTTCTCCTTAACACCCAAGTAATGTTAGAATCAGGAGGTGGTAGAAGAGTGGCATCAGGCGACTGTGTCCGAGATGTCAACGTGAGTATTCACATTAGAAAAAACATCTCCACATTTTTTTTGTCATAAAATCAAGAAAATAAACAAACTCAAACCACATGAAAAAAGATATAAAATAATTCAAAAGGATATGTTGCAAATGTAGTATTAGTGCTGAAGAGAAACCTGTAGTAAACACACAGGACCATCTTCATAACTTTTGCCATGGAGAAGTGAATAAGAAAGAATAATCGAGGAGCTTATATACAAATTGACTATAGAGGGCACATTGATGTAGGTGGAGAGAGTCACAAGATTAAAATTACTAGGGGCAATATAGTGGGATATAAAGACTGGAGCAAGTGAGGTGGAATTCATATCATTGTTTAGATGGGCAAAGAAGAGAACCTTTTGCCGGGATAAAGCTACAGTGTGAGAGGAGAGGTTTTGGAATAAATAGTAATAGAAAATTTAAAGTTTGTTTATTCATTTATTAATTGCCATTAAGTTTCTGTGAATAAATGGCAATAGAGTACTTTAATAGTTTCATCTCTATAGTTACTCTTGTTCTGAAATTACTACACTATGCAGCTTGCTGTTTGCATGTACAAATATTTTTACTTTTATTTTTTGTAAATTTTAAGAATCTTTGTTACCTTGGGACAACCTAAACATATTTCGAGAAAAATCTCCATCCGAGAGGTTTTGTTCAAACACTACTGGTTCACTGCTTGCAGCTACTATTGCATTCTGCTCAATTAGTCCAAGATCTTCAGTATCAATATATTCAGAATAATCCAATCCTTCTTGGAGCCGAAGAATACCCAAAGACAAATGCATATCAAAAACTTGACTGAAAAAAGTTTTTTATTGATTATTAACAAACAGTTATAGAAAACATTCAAAACACGAATAGGTTTAAGTTATGAATAAATAAAGTACAAATTGTTCTATAAATAAAATAGATAATGTTTCAAAAACTTAATTTTATATTCCATTGCCTTGTAGTATGATAAAAAGCAGTAATTAAGACAAAAAAGTTTTTATAAATATATTACACTCAACCAGAAATGAAATTATCTATCAGTCTTGCATATTACAAAGTAATTTAATTGACCAATCAGCTAGTAAAAGATATGATCTATAGATTTAAATATTTGGAAGTATTATCACTATCATCTTGTGTAAAGTTTATTCAAAGTGTGAAATACAACTTGCATGGTTGTTAACACTTCAGAATACTTGATCATTTATTCAAATATCAGATATTCGAAATACCAAACAAATATTTTACTATTTTTAAAATTGATGTAATTAATGTTGACTTACTGAATAACATTGAAATACTCCAAAACTTCTTTTTCATCACACACTTGCCAGTTATGTTTGTATCCCATCATTAACATATTAGGTCGTAATTTTCCAAGTCCTACAAGCTGAAGAATATACAAAATACACATCTCATTGTAAAGTAAAATATTTTAAACTTTCCAACAAAGTACAAAATATTAGCATAAGAAGAAGACTTACACTTAATCCATAGTTATGTTTTTACAATAGAAACTTGTCCGATCCAAGGCCCAACTTTAATAGAGATTTATACGACTACACTTTAATACACAATTTTGATGGAGATGCATGCTTGTATTAAATATTTAAAGATTCTTGGAGTTATCAACTCTCATAACATGCACACTTCCATGGAATAACTATTACTAGGAGAAATACCTTTCACCTCAGAGAATCAAATTGTAGAAGACATACTTTTTTTCACTAAAAACAAAGTATACTGTATTTTTTGGAGTGTAAGAGAACACTTTTTTATGGTTTGCCTGAGCCTCAACTTATACACTACATTGATTTATCTTAGGATTAGTCATAAAAATTTCTCAAAGTTTCATAAAATAAATATGAGTTTTTGTAGTTGTGAAGATGTAATCTGCTCAATGAAGCATGCTTAATTAACCAACCAACCAACCAAGCCCACACCCTCTTGATCCTTTTCAATCATCATTACATGTAAAAAAAAACAAAAAAAACTCATCTTATTAAGTCCCATAAATCCTACACAGTGGTAGGCCAGCTGGAGGTTGTGAAATTTGTAAAGGAAAATGGAGGGAAGATAGTCACTCATTATAAGTACAGTGTCAGTGAAAAATTTGTCTGAAACCAGTGCAAGTCTAAACACAACAAAGAAATCTAAGAAGGCAAATTGTGGATGCAAGGCTAGATGGACAATATTAGAAGAATATGTCTTAACTCAACATGTTGTGGACTAAATACTGTTTAACTTAAAATGAAGGTGAAACAAATTGCTACTGACTTAGGAGTTGACAGCTTTTAAGGAGATCCATCCATTCTGGTATTTTCAATTCATGTGAGAGAAAGGACTGTGTGTCAGGCATGCACAACAATATCTCAGAAACTGCCTGCACACTTCGAAGAAAAGATGAGCAACTTCTGCTTATTTGTGCAAATGAAGATAATGCAGAGGCACCTGATATAATCAACATGGATGAAGTATCATTAACATCTGACATTACAATGAACTATAGAAAGTAAAGGAAAAGATGACAAGGAGAACATTGCACCTAGTATGTCCCCTGACTTTGTGGTTATCTTCTATTCAGACACAGAAGATGGGAAATTTGATGGTTTCTGATGTTGAGTAATTATCTGTGGTGATCAAATGTGTACTTGGTAATGAAAATCATACTTAAATGGTCTAATTATTACTGGTAATTAAATACTTAGACAATTTCACAGTTGTCAGAAGTTTGATTATGTCTTTCATTTGTTGTTGTTTTATGTATGTAATAAAAAAATTTAAACTCGTTATATTTTATATTCTCCATTTTTTGGCTAACTTTTGCTATTTTCAAATTTCTTCACATTTCCTACCATATTCTTTCTGCTGGCCTACAGTAAACAACATACCCATACCATACTTGATCTATCCTCATCTTATACTCCACTTCAGCTTATATACGAGTGAAGGTTGAAAAAATGAGAAATTTAACCTGTTTGACTTGTACTTCACATCAACTTATATGCTGAAAAATACAGAAGTTGAAGTTAGCTTTTATATACAGAAACATCTGTTAGCTGAGTTCTTGCACAGATCTTAAAATATAACGTTTATAAATGGAAACATTGGCTCAAGTTTTGTACAATGAAAAACCTGTTTAAGAAGTTGAAGTACTTGTTTGTTCTAATGAATACACTCAAGTGTAAATGACTGTGGCAAAGATATTTGTGTTAGAGTACTATAAAAATACTTGTAAAAGTCTTTTGCTTCAGTCCATCATCATGATCTATACCGAAGGTACTGTCTCAGCTGGACATCGTGGTCTATTCTACAGGTTCTGATTTAGTCAGACACTACAGCCTATGCTAAAAGTTCAACTCTACAAATATATGAGGAGTAATTCTTTGATAGATTGAAGGGGTTGACTCTATTGGCCTTATTTATCTGTTGAAAGAGCATTACTACTGGTAATAACTAACAAAGAATCTTAGAATGATACTTGCCTGTACTAAAGACCTCACTCCATGTGAGAAATCGTCTTCTTCGACTAAAGCATAAAAACCTTTGATTTTTCTTTCTTGTAACCAGCACATAGCCTGTTTACTCAGTGCATTACGGACTCGCTGAGTCACGGAACCCTAATGAAATACTGTAATTATTATACTTTGCTCTTTGGCATCTGGTATTTATGTTTCATTTTAGAATAAAAATACAACAAATGAAATACTTTTAACTTAGTATATAATATTCCTACTAAAATTAACTAATTGACTGTTATGGAAAATAAACTTACTTTTAAAAATATCAACTACAAAATTTTACTATCAATAAACTCACCCTATGAATGTTTCCACATACAAGTAGGCTAAGATGTTTACAGATACCGTATGTAAAATCCACCAGAGGGGGTCTGCTATTGGGATGCCCAGTCAGTAACAGAATCTGGGGCCTGGAAAATGGTTCAATATCATGTATTTTATCTTTGTATAATACAAAACCTAAACTAAAATACAGTTATTCTTTTAATTTATAATATACTCACCTATAATTCTTAACATGCTCTTCAACTCGATTTAACTTGATAACAGAACTTAAAGCTGACTTATAAGTCTGAGCCTGTGTGGAGGAACCCCAATTTGCATCTGTAATTATTCATATATCACTTGTTAAAATTACTTACATATCAACAATGAAGGATCAAATAACAATAAATGTATTATACACAAATTAAAGACCTGAATTTGATTTAAATTATTATTATTTCTTTTAAGCTGAATGTTTTGACTTGGTAAAATCAACAACTAAAATGAATCCATCACATTTACATTATCAAAATACATCACACATAAAAAGCCTATTAAACACCAATAAAAGTGGGATTTCACATCACTTACCAGGTTTTCTGTGATGAATATAAATATACAAAGCCAATATAATTGCATATGTAATCAAAGCTGTCCACCAGTTGATAATGAACATGACAGCCACACACAATATTGCTGCTAGTAAACTCACCCACTTATTATAATACTTGAAAGCTGGACGAAATCCTGGAGCAGGAAGAAAGTTGGTACTTTATAACAAACAATGAATTCAATATAAAAGGATAAATCAATAAGTATATGTTAATAGTGAAAAAAAATCTAGTAGGGCCAGTTAGAGCATTCTTTACTCAGGTTATTACCATTAAGTTTAATATATTATACTCTGAATTACTAAGCAAACAACAGAAAGAGAAGAAATTTGAAAATAATGATATATATATATAAATTTGTGTAGCAAATTATTTTTTTAATTGCTTCCAACACTTAGTCATTTTTGTATAACACACTTTAATTATTCTTTGATGTTATTCCTCTTACACAAATCAGAATGGCAAGGAGAAAGAAGGCTGAAAAAGTTGGGGTGGTGTATAGTGATGGCAAGGAGAGGGAGGGAAGAATCCACTGAAGTCACTACATTTAAGAAATTTACAAAAAATTTAAGGCTGAAATTGGAAACAAAAATTAATTATTTCCAATTTATAAGCCAAGCCAAAAACACCTTTTTAAGCTCTTTTAACTCTACTCTAATCATTAATGTTTGGCATAATTCTTTCTTAGTTTTTAATCTTAAATGCATGTTTTTTCTACCACCTTTGAAATAATGCTAGTACCCACTGTATTTATAAAAATGACATGAGATGCATGTCATCACATAGGTTAAACAACAGAAGTTCATTTTACTAATACTCGACTATCTTTACATAAACTCATTTGTCATTGATTGGATACTATGATAGTCAGGTCAACTGCAAATATGGTATGTCTGGAATACAGAAAGAGCAACATAATCCAGATTTGCCCCCTCCCCCTGCATTCTACTTACTAATAAGGAGTCAGTCAAATATTACAATACTACACACACCCCTTGATTTTGGTCCTCATCCGACGCGAATCAAGAGATCTCTCCAATAATGGTCTAAAAGGTGGAATCCTGCCAGTTGGTGGAAAATTACCATGTTGGCTCTTAGCAACATGGATTTAAAACAAATTTATTTGTTCAATCGATACAAAAAACATCACTATATGCCTAGAGAAATTAAACAATTTATTAGATTTCTTTTTTTTTTTCTTTTACTCAATACACCTATAAATGATTTCTCACTGATAAATCATTTTACATAAAACAGTTCTGGAGATATAACCATACCCAAATTTGGTGGAATGGAGTAATGTGTGAAAATAAAAACCCTTACCTGGAGATCTGACAAAAGATGAATGAAAACAAGAGAAGTTGATCAAACAGTAGGCCGCAAGAAAGAAGTTGGAGATTATTGGTGCAATGGCATTTAGTTCACCTAAGCTCTACTGAAGCACAGTGCTGTATCAGAAAAAATATATAAAATACAATCCATGTATATAATATTGAATTACTGGTGCTAGCTGATCCTAAACTAGCTTCTTCATCTCTTTCATTTCTTTCCAATATTAGTGTTGTTAGTTAATGGTTAACAAGTACAAGATCATTAACATGTCTTCAAGAAAAATACAAAAAATAAAACACCATTCATTGAAAATAAGAAATTACAGTTAAAATCTTAAAGTAATTTAATCTATCAATACTTATGAAGTGATTATTATAGTTATTTTAGTACAGAAAAATAACATTTTAAGCTATAAATCATATCAGAATTTTAGATAAAATATGTTTACATATCAAATTGATTGAACAGTTTCTGCTTTTATATTTCTCAGTAGGAGCATTCCCTGAAAAAACACAACTTTATTATAATGTCAGTGTCAAACTATAATAACTCAAGCATGTCAGTCATTTAGCTGCATTTTGCTGCTTATTATAATATAATTAAGCTTTAGCATGATAAGAGTGTATCACAGCAGGTGTCAATTTTTTTATTGCTAGTGTGACAAACATATAATATTTAGTTATATATTTTGTTGTAATCTGTATTTTTACATGCAATCTCAGCTACAAGAAATACCAATGAAAAGAAACTTAGTGAAAATTTAGTCTTATTTCTCCTTTCATATTCACACAGCTAATTTATTATTTTTAGATGTTTTATTCAATGTTAAATTTCACATCTATGCATCCTCAATGCACAGTGTTGAGCAGCACCTACCTCATTTCATATCAATAAGCATGCAAATTAAAAATATATAGCTCATCTGGGGATGCATTTGATTGTCCTTTATAAAACATTTACCTCATCCAAAGAACAGCACAAACAGCCAGGCATGAGGAACAACTCAGAGATATGAACATGCGTGAGAGCTGAGCAAATAACAAGTTCACATTGTACTGGTCTTAAAATTATCAACTTCAGTTAAAGATAATTCCAAAGATATCTAAAAATGCCAACATTTTGTGAACAATAACTGATTTATATATACCAGACCATGGTGTGTGTGTTTCCATATACACATAGACACAAATAATTTTATGCAAGCAACAACTTCATTTTCATTATGGTTAATGGTCTCAAAATTGATTTAATACTTTTAATGTATTATAACAAAGTAAAATTCTCTACAGTGTCAACAAATAATTCACGGTATTTGGTTTCATTAAGATTACAATACATTTATAAATTATAACTTTAGTAACTTACAAAATGTGGTATTTTACTGAAGGCTTAGAAACAGTATAATTTTAAATATGAATCACTTTCTACAGCAGAATTTTTAATGAGAGAAGTTTAGATATCCAAGAATCAGTTTTTGAGCAAATTTATTATTCAAAAAACAGAACAAAAAACAGCCCTAGATCACAGTATTGCAGTACAACGTTTCTTTTGCAAGAAACATTTAATGTCTAATGAAACTTCAATATCTGTAAGTTTGGTATATACAGCATGAAGTTTCACTGCTGCTGTTACATTATTGTGTTGTGTATGAAGTGTTAGTTATGCTACATGCAATGGTGTATCACAATGTAAGTAATTGTGAAACAAATGATATGTTTAACACCCACAGTATTGGAAATAATTATGGAAAGGTAAATAATTCGGATATAAAATGCAGGGAATTCCACCATTTAATTGTGTGAGAATGAACTGCACCAGAGTAGCCTTGCGTTGATACTTTCACTGTGATCAGTTTTCATTCAATCAATCAGACAGTGTCATACCAGTATAAAGCCTATAAAGATATAGGCAGACAAACTATGACCAGTAGCAGCAGTGTGTGTCCAGTTATGACTCCCATAAGTGAAGTACTGCATGACTAGTGTAGAAATCAAAGTTCTAGCATGTCAAAGATACCCCACACAAACAAATGCAGCAAGACTTCACATTTCTGTGAGAGCTTTACGCAAGACTGAAGAGGGTATGTAAAACTGGCACTTTTAATAATAGACATGGTAAAGGTAGAAAAACAAACATTTCAAGTGTGAAGATAAGTATCTCAAGGTATGACCTTTAAAAAATATACAATGGTAAAGTACAGATCTTGCAGTATTTTGATATGGCTTTTTAAAAACCACAAAAATTTCTTTTAAAATAAAGTAAATGTATTCCAAAAAAGCACAAAAGTATGATTAGAATGACCTACCTATTACTACACATGCTAATGCTATTGCAAAGGCTAATATATATGCTCGACGTGGCTCACCATTCTTCCCAAAGCCTTTACCAAAATATTCAATTTTTGGAAAAATTTTATCTCTGCACAAGGCCTATAAGAACAAATTACACAAATTCTATTATAATGTGATCAAAAGCAAGTATTATTAGGGAGAAAAAAGTAATTTGTAAATTCACAAATAGTTATTTTGATATGAATAAGAAAAGCACACAAGATGTAAAATCTAAATAATTAGTTAAACAAAAGATGCAACTTGTAAAAGATTAAATATAATTATAACTTAATTATTCTATGCAGATTATTTCACCAGAACTTTTTGTAAAAACAAGTGCTATACACACACACACATGTGTGTGTATGTGTAAAACACAGACATACTGTACCACATTAATTAAATCAAACATGTCAATTGTATATTTGTTAATTTTTTTCAACTTGTAAATAACTATAATCCTGGACTGTACAGCACCTAGTACCTTAACTATTTATGGGTAAGGATGGGTCTGCACCAAGGGCCATAATAGGATCAAAACGTTATTCTGAGTTTTAAAACTTTGGGAGTAAATAAAAGACCAATTTCACCTCTCAGTGAATATTAAATTTTATTTAAGACAAAAAAGCTCAAATTTATATAATCTCAACCAGATCAACACTATGCACATACCTGAAACACTTTTGGAGCACTAACCAGGCTTGTAAGTGCTGAAGATAATGTAGCAGCAAAAATACCAGCATATATAAGTGGACCAAAACCCGATACCATCTCCATTACCTGAGTATTACACAACACTGTTAGCAATCTGCATATTAATTACATTACGTACATATATAAAAGTAATTTTTATTGTTTTCTCCTAAAGTGATTAGTTAATTAAATCAATATGAAACTTAGTAATTTGTTAAACAGTCAGCATAGCATAAAGAAGTTATAATCAGGCAAGCAGTAGTACTGCCTATGTAGGGATGACTCGGATTGTATTTTCAAATGGTATTTTAAATATTTTACCAATAGGTCATCATAACTTTACAATACTATATAATGTTTCCTTTTATAATAATATCTATGTAATGACTGAGTCACAAGTTCTTGGAATGTCTGTAATTATCATAGCAAAAAGTTTGAATTTCCTGTTCTTCTTTCTTTTGCTTGTTTATTACATAACTCAAAAACCAAACAATGGTTTCAACCAATTTCACTGAGGTGACAATTTCAAATGGAGTATACACTTTTATAAGTACTATTAATAACAACTAGTAATTTAAAAAAAAAAAATCATAATTCTAGTGTAAACAATGTTATC